TGGCAGCCTGCTGTCACCTTCCCTGCTGGCAATGGGGAATGGACTCTCGGACCAGACGCCGATCCTCTCGAGCCTGCCGTCTTTCCAGAGTTTCCACATCGTCATCTTGGGGCTGGACTCCGCTGGGAAGACGACCGTGCTCTACAGGCTGCAGTTCAATGAGTTCGTCAACACCGTCCCCACGAAAGGATTTAACACGGAGAAAATCAAAGTGACGCTGGGCAACTCGAAAACGGTCACTTTCCACTTCTGGGATGTGGGCGGCCAGGAGAAGCTGAGGCCGCTGTGGAAGTCGTACACGAGGTGCACCGATGGCATTGTGTTCGTGGTGGACTCCGTTGATGTTGAGAGAATGGAGGAGGCCAAAACAGAACTTCATAAAATTACTAGGATATCTGAAAATCAAGGAGTGCCTGTCCTTATCGTTGCTAACAAGCAGGACTTGAGGAACTCTCTCTCCCTTTCTGAAATTGAGAAAATGTTAGCGATGAGCGAGCTGAGTTCTTCGACCCCCTGGCATTTGCAGCCTACCTGTGCAATCATTGGAGACGGACTCAAAGAGGGACTGGAGAAACTACATGATATGATAATTAAGCGAAGGAAAATGTTGAGGCAGCAGAAAAAGAAGAGATGAGTTCTATTTTGACCTTTCTATTTTAGAGTAGCTACGTGGTCAAAATTTGACGGAAGACAGCTTCCAAACCCAGGCCTGCTGGTTTGGATGCCGTTAAGCTTAGTTACGTTAAACAATCAGTTGCACAATCTTGACGTGTGCAAGGCTGTGCAGTTATGGAACTTTTTTTTTTAAACTAGTCTCTTCTGAGTTTTATGGCTCTGCATTATTTCAGAAGCCCCGATAGATGATGTAATACTATCAGGAAATGGATGGGTGGGTATATGTGACATGGATGTCTAAATAGCCAAATAAAATGAGGGTTTTCTGCTTAGTGTTGTATTCATATGTTGAGGGTGCCCTCTGCAAGCAATTTGCGTTGAAGGTGTTCTGTGTTTTTTAAACTTCTGATGCTCGTAAGTGGAGTGTTTAGGTGAACATTATACAGCTTTAAAAACATGTATGAAGCTAGTAACCATTATTTCGAGAGGCTGTTTTTTTACCTTGTTTGGGGATTTCTGCGAAAGCTTGGCTACATGTGTAGGTTTTTTTTAATTTGGCACTTTTTGAAATTGAATCACGTTCCTTTCAAATACTTGAAATTTAAGTGCTGTGGATTCTTCTACTGATAAAAGAAAGACTTTTTGACAAGTAAAAAATGTAAACAACACACTGGAGCATGGAAAAGTGGTTTCCCAACATATAGCATGTTTTTGGTATGTAAGGCTTTTATTTTTTAGAAGTAGCCATTTGTCATTATACAGTGCTAATCAGGTTTAAACTATTATTCAAAATTAGTAATTTATTTTTGAATGATGAGTATTATGTCCTCCTGCTATCAAGTTAGAAGTAAATTAATTGCAGTAAAGTAGCTACAAAAAACAACTCTGGCGATTGTAGTTCTAACCAGTGCAGCATTCTTTGCTCTACTGGTGACTTTTCTGGCAACTAAATTATGATGAAGTAAAGACGGAGTTATAAGTAGTGGAGCACATCTTGTATCTCCCCAAAATACCCCATTTTATTAAAGTGGTATTGCTATGTCACTTTCAACATACGCTTTTTTTATCATGACTCTTAAAGTATTTTGTGGTTAGGAATGTAATAATGCTTTATACACTCGAAACATTTGACACTGCCGGGGGCATGGGGGGGTGGGAAGTGGGGGAAGAAGATTTTTAAAGATGGGCCTGTGTTCTGCTTTAATTATGCTTTAAGCTGTTCTTGTTTACAGAGTGTGCAAACAGTGTTAACTGGGCAGGATAGTGCTTGATGGAAAAGGGAGGGTAGTTTTTCTTACTGGTACAGAGCTTCAAGTGACTCTTTAGATACTCAGCTAGCAATTAAAAGGGCTAAAACAGAGCCTGGATTTTTAAGACTAACTTTAGTGGTGCTGTAAAAATTCATCAGAATGTTAGATTCTCTTTAAACTTTTGTTAAAAATACCAGATTAAAAAAAAAAAGTAAAAAAAAAAAAAAAAAGGCAAAATCTATTTCCTCCTCTTACTCAGCCAGCAAAGTAATACATTTTTGTTACCTGCTGCCATGTACCAGGAGGATGACAGCTACAAACCTGAATGTCAATCAATGTAACTTGGATACGTTTAAAAAAAAAATAATCAAACTTTTTAACCAGCAGCTGTTTGTCCAGGAGGTAACCAGAAATGCACTTTAGTGTCTTCAATATCTGAAAGTGACAGCTGTTTGTTTTTTTTATGACATCTTGGTCCTTTTTGAATAAACTGAAGTAGCTTCCAGTGGAGCTTTTGTATGTTGGTTATATATGTACCTGCACTGGTGACATTGTAAGTCACTTACTCAAGTAATGTCTATATTTATAGAAATGTGGATGACTTCTTAAACCTCAATAAACAATTCAAAACAAGCCTGCAGAGAGAAGGTGTCTGACTTCTTGTACTGCAGCAGTATGTTCTCATCAACCTCTGTGCATGTATTGGTTCTAGTAACAGTACGACTATTTCTGTTGAAAACCTGAGACTTACGAACGTGGTGAGGCTCATAAATGTCACGGTGTTATAAACTGCGGGTATCTCATTAAGAACTTTAAATCAATGGCGTGTCTGTATGTTCACGGAAGTAATATTAACTGCAGTGACTCCTTTCTGAAGTGATGGATCTTGCATGGTTTGAAAAAATCTTGCATGTAGCTGAAGCTATTTAGTGTTATGTGCATCGTTTAACAGGCGATGTTGGGCATTTATCACATGTACTCACAGGTGGTACTTAATTTAGTATCTTCAGGCTCGTATATCTGAAGCTATCTGAGGGATTTGCATGTACTTAAGCCCTGGGTGAATTTCCTCCTTGGATTTTATGGCCACGAGTAGAATGTGGCAAGAGATACGGAAGCTTCTAATTAGTTTCGGGACCCAAACATAGGTAAGATGAACCTTGTTTGGAAGCCTACGAATCAAAATTGCGAAGTTTGAACAAGAATATCCAAACCTGTCTCTCAAAACACTGAGGTTTTCATTTCTGTTTATGTAACTGATTGCACATCGAAATGTAGGTTACTAGCAGTCAGTCTCCAGAAAGAGCTGTGTTACTGACGCTGAGCCCTATGAATTCGGGGTGTAATTAGAATAATCTGGTTAACATTATCCTTTATATCAGGTGCACAGCACTACTAGGGTGAGGAAGGTGAGGTGACAGGCTGGCTCTTTGTACCCCATAAACAAACTGTACAATACCAAGTAGTAATCGCTCCATTTTGAGTATTCATGAGGCTTCTATAGGGAACAGTTGAAAAGGCATCCTGCTTGAAAAAGTCAACTGCATATTGTTCTGCATATTAAACACGCTGGTGCTTGTCTGGTGACAATCTCCCTAAACTCTTCTACATCTGAAAACTTCAGTGAAAAATTTTAAATACAAAGACATGACTGATCTGTACTCTAGCACTCTGGAGGAAGAAATGAGAGAAGGTGGAGAGCAGTGTTTCTGAAATGTCGTGGTTGTTGTCTTGTGGCATTTAATACTGACTTGAAAGTAGAAAATTTTGGGTGGGGGGTGAGTTTTGCGTTCAAGCTAAACCTTTAACTGTACTAGAACTGTTTTGCTGGAATATTATAGTAACTGTTCTGAGTAAAATATACAAATGTAGCTGTACCTCTGAAACTGTGTTTTGTATTCCTGTGAAAGTCTTCAACTACGAACAAAGTGGTGATTGCAGTAAAGCGTTTGGTATCTTAGCTGGTGGAGTTTCTGCTGGCATAGTTCTGTCAGCATGGGATCACCGTTCTCCGTACAATGAATTGACAGTTCTGGCCAAAATACTGGGATGTATAAGAAAATCTTCAGGGGAGTTGAACAAGCAGGTGTAATTTTGTTACAAAGGTGGAGCTACACAACTTAAATTTTAAAACAAATTTTGCAAAAATGGGCTACAAATGACACTGATCTTCAAGGCACTAGGTGAGTAGCTTAAACTGCTGCTACTTTAAGGAGGTATGGAACTGCATTTAGATCAGTGCAGCACTGTTAACGAACAAACCACGAGGTCTGGTGACCTTATCACTGTTGTCTTAGCTTACAGAAGTCCATATGACGTTGCTTCAGCTGTTTCTGCACATGTAGTCGTTCAAAGTTAACCAGCCTGCAGGACTTGGTCTCTGTTCTCTGTGCAGTAGCTGACGGCTGTTTCAGCTAGAAAAAATCCCATAGGATGGCGAGACTTCTCCAAGTTCTTGACATTGCTTTCAAGTTGTGTTGCACTGGGTGTGTATTTACATTCAGGGAAAAAAAAAGTACTGGTTTTCAGCCAGGTGATAGGTGAAAACTTTCTCTCTTCAGTTTTTCATGCTTTATTGAGGCATGATTGTTCTTTGTGTGGAAAGCAGTACCCACAGCCAGTGCCGGGTTCCCAGCCTGGCTTGGAGAGGTGCTTCGGTACCACCTTGCACAGCACGTTGGTCCTGCAGGAGTTTGTGACCTGGGAGGCAGCAGTCACCAAGCAGCGAGGAGCTGGAAGCAACCTGCTGGGGTGGGGGCTTGCAAGCCCTCCTGGACCCCGACAGGTCTGCGTGGAGGCAGCTCTGCCTTCTGTGGGGTGCTATCTGCTCCTTGGGTCATTTGTTTACAGTTAGCAGGGTGTTAATTAGTGTCTGGCTGAAGCTTTTTGTTGAGAGTGTCGTTCTTGGCATCGGAGGAGCGTTTAGATACTGCGTTGGTACTACAGAGCAGGACTGGGTAAGGCAGGCTGTGGAAAGGGTAGGCGATCTGCGTGCGCTATAGATGGGGCACCAACCTTAACATGCAATCTTGAATCAGCTGTGCAGATTGCAGTGCACAAAGACTAGAAAACACGTGCTCGTAATGCTGTCTTTAACTTCCTTTGAGAGAGAAATCTAGGCATGAATCCGAGCTTTTTGGATCGGTGTTTTCACTTTACTGTTGGGTGACTCATCTTTCGAGAGGATCCAGCTTACAGCCCCGATCTGAGGGCCCATAGCCTCCTGTCCCCCAGCCAGAACGGCTCTTGTTGCTGCTGGAGGGGATGTGCAGGGAGCTGTGAATGGGCAGAGTCTCCTGTTTGTTTAATCTGGGGGATGAGGAAAGCTTTTTTTTTTGATTTTTTTTTTTTTAATCCTGGCTGACATAGCAATGTGAAGGCCTGCCCCTCTCAGGCTGCTCTGCAGGCTGTGACTATTTTTAGGAGCCGCATGAGACTGCAGAGCTGTATGGATAAACTCTTGCGTGTGTTTTTAAACTGAAGAGAGATACACAGCCTGACTTCGCAGCAGGGTGACGCCTGGGGTTGTCATATGGGCGCCCACAGCCATCCTGCCAACCCAAGGACAAAATAAAGGGGTGGTATGTAGCTGGTAACTTGCCCTTCTTTAAAGCATTAGTCAGTCTTCTTAAACCAGCTGTAAAGAAGCAGAAATGCACTTTGAAAGACCTAGCTGAAAAAAAATTCCAAGCAGCAAACGAAGGGCTTGGGTTTCCTCGCCGTCAGTGTCCTGTTTTAGTGGCGGTGGCTGCGAGCGCTCCGAGGCACCTGGGTGATGCTGCCTGCAGCCTGCCCAACTGCACGGTCACCGAGCGATCACATACTGTTTTTATTCAAAGGCAAACGAAAAATCTAGGGAGAAAAAGTAGGCAGGGAGGCCAGACAGTGCTTCCAGGCTAAATACCTGCTTGCAAACAGCTCAGGAAGGTAAGAGATGATAATCCCTGAGCTGTGAAGATTATGGTTTCTTAGTTCCAGCTATATTTACAGAGCTGCTCCACCAGAATTAAGAGCTAAAGATGACAGAATAGTTAGAAAGGAGAAGGTCGAGTACAGTTGTTGGCTGTAGGGTGTGTGGAGGGAGAGAGGATTTGAAACTGTTGGGTTTTCCTAGCTTTTCAAGACACTTTGAGCCCTAAGGGATATAGATATGCTTTTAGGCTGCTTAAATGGTTTAAAATCTTTTATTGTTTTATGCACTGTAGTTTTCCTGTTGCTGAACTGAAACAATACCTCATTTAAGAAAACCACCTAATCATCGCATTAATCTCAGGGTCTACTGACAAAGGAGAAGGTTAGCAGGGGTGCTGAGCCTTGTTAAACGCGCTGAGGGGTCCTGGCTGGCACACAAGCTGCTGTATTTCAGGGTCTTTGCTAAAAATAGCAGAATAGCAGAATTTAGGTCAGGCAAGGTAGAGGTGTGAAGCCTGACACCTCAGAC